GTCGGGGAGCTGGGGCGCCTGGGCAGGACCCTGCAGGTGGGGCATTTGGTAGAGAGGGCCCCCTTTCTCCCCGAGGGAAAGCGAAGGAAGCCGTGCCCTGGCTGCGGGGGTGTGAGGGGCAGCCTTCGGTTTTCAGCCGCTGCAGTGCGTAAGCGGCGTGCCTTACCGCCCCGCTCCTCCCAAATAGAAGAGGGCCCCGCAGCCCACGTTTGTTTGCCGGCTTCCCCTGCACACCGGCCCCGCGCCGCCTCCCTGCCCACTTCCTTTATGCTGGGCAGCGAAGTTGATGCCGAAAAGGGAGTGTGGTTCGCTACAGGCTCCACTGCGCCCCTTTTAAAGATCACGTGAGAGGAGCGAGTGCCGACTTCCTTAAATCGCTCGGAGAAGGTCGCCGGAATTAGGCTGTTGGTGCCCTGGGGACTGGTCTAGAAGGCACTGCGCACAGGTCAGGCCAGAGGGCACTGCGATACGTTTCCGGGGGGGCCTGGTTTCCGAGATAAGGTTATAGGAAATTGAATCGGTTCGCACACTTGCCCAGTGGGAATTTGTGAGCTTTTTTGTTTGTAATCAATGAAAAATGAAGTTGACTTTTAGAAAGACAGTTGCAAAATTGCATTCGGTTCCCCATTATGCCGTCGAATTAATGAAAAAAGTCTCTAAAGTATTGGGCATTTATCTTTCAAGTTTGTGATCATGTAAAAATGGCAACCGGAGCCACAGTATTGCTGACTGTGAACAAATAACTGGGATGCACTTAGTTTTAAAAAGGCAGACATTAAAGGATAGTTTTGAATTAACTGACTTTTTGGGTTAATGTGAGGCTACTTTTGTCGTCAACTTTCCTTTTTTGTTGTGCTGTACTTGTTGGCCCGGTTTCTCACAGGTCTATGCATTTAGTAAGTACTTGTTGAATGGAATTGAATGAACTGGTCATCATTTGTACATCCATTGGAGCCCCTTTTTACTTCCTGAATCTGTGCTGCTTTTAAAACTGGGACAGAGCCCTGGCTGGGCAGCTGAGTTTGTCAGAGCGAGGTCCTGATACTCCCAAGGTTGCACCTGGATCCCCTTGCAGGTTGAATCCTGGTCTGGGCACATAAAAGAATCGACCAGTGAATGTGTAAATAAGTGGAACAACAAATCGATGTCTCTTTCTCTTTCCCTCTCTCAAATCAACAAATAAAATGAATACCCCCCCCCCCAAAAAAAAAAAAAAACTGGGGCAGTATATTCTCCAATTTAATTGTGTCACCAATTAGGGATCTGTGACAGTTTCAGTCCTTGGAAAGATGTAGGAAGGCATATCACAGTGTCATAAAATTATTCATTGGGTGAAGTAAAATATTTTTTTATTAGAATGCCATTGTTTTAGGACAGAGAAAATGGCGGAAATGTTTTTCTCCAATAAAATGACTACTTTTATTATCATTTATGAATAATCTTAGTCTGCATGGCTTCCCTCTCCATTGTACACTAACTTTATTTATTTAATTTTTAAAATATATTTTATTGATTTTTTACAGAGAGGAAGGGAGAGAGATAGAGAGTTAGAAACACCGATGAGAGAGAAACATCGATCAGCTGCCTCCTGCACATCTCCCACTGGGGATGTGCCCGCAACCCAGGTACATGCCCTTGACCGGAATCGAACCTGGGACCTTTCAGTCCACAGGCTGATGCTCTATCCACTGAGCCAAACCGGTTTCGGCTGTACACTAACTTTAGTATTGGGGAAATAGTAGTATAAATTGCTATAGCTATACTTTCTTTGCACTCAAAGTTCACAGTCTAGTGGAGAAGACAGATATACAAATAAGTATAATTAGTATTTTTTTTTTGTTCATGTTCCAGTTTCCTTACTTTTCCCCAAAGCAGTTTTTATACGTCTGTGCAAAAAGAGAAATGTTCTGATTTCAAGGGATTCATTTGGCTAGAACAAGTTGTTCAATTATCCTTAATATCCCTTATACAAAAAATGAAGTTTGTTGTAGTTTTGTATTAATGAGCTATAAGAAATGATAAACTGGTCTTCTTAAGACATAACTCATTGCACTAAGTGGGCCCTTGGTGTGCATCCTTTCAATGGAGAAGAGGTGAAAGGTTACTAGAATAGAGGAGTCTTGAAGAGTACATTTGTAAAAATTACGATTATGCACACACATAACTGACAATGTGTTCTCTATTATGCATATAAAATCGTGTACCTTTTTTTAAAAAAAAGGATCCATCATTGTGCTGATACCTAGTGGGAAGAGCTAATTTAGCAGATACTCACTTTGACTTAATAGAAAATCATGCTAAATTAGCAGACCAGTGACATTAAGTGGGGAAAGGGAATCTTTGGGGGGGCCATCTAGCCATAGAACATTATAGGTTTGCCTCTTAATCAGGAGACAAGCATTTAGAGTGTCACCTTTCTTTATACTTGCATAAGTAAGATTAAACTTTTTCCTGTTTTTATTTTATTTTTAATGTATTGATATGTGAACCATGTAGAACTCTAGATCTGACAGATATTTCAGAGGTCATCCTTTGGGGGAAATTTATCTAATTTTGGAGACTAACTCCAGGTACCACATGGTCTTCTTGGCTTTTTGAATCAGAATTGTGGCTGGTTTCTAAGTAAATGTGAGTAAATAGTTTGCCCTTTAATGGTGCTTATTTTAATGTTCTGGTTTTTTTTAAGACTTTCATTAGAAAGATTTGCAGTTAGATCCAGTGGCACATTCTAGCATAACCATTTCAAATTTTGAAGTTTAGCCAAGTGAGTTGAGACTCACAATACATGTAAAAGGGGAATAGTTCCTGCTTTGCAGCATTCTTTTTTATTTTTTACCTTTTTACTTTTCCTTTTAATCTTTATTTTTTATTTTATTTTTTTTGCTATTTTTTGTGTTTTTAGTTGTTTTATTGCTTAAAGTATTACAAAGAGTATTATATATGTCTCCTTTTTTTTCTCCCCTTGACCCTCCCCTAGCCTCCCATGTCCCCCAGTGTCTTGTGTCCATTGGTTATGCTCATATGCATGCATACAAGTCCTTCGGTTGATCCTTTTAATCTTTATTGTTGAAAGTATTACATAGGTACTCCTTTTTCCCTCATTAAGCTCTTCACACAGCATTATTCTTGGTATGAGAAATAACCTGTAAAATGCTTACAGATATTCTATAAATGATGGTTGCTTTCCCTTCTTGATTTGATTATCTTTGGTTATTGCCGGAAGTCGGTATGACAGCTTTTAACTTTGAATAGCCAACATTATTTGCTTCTCATTTATGTCTTAATTCAGCATATATTAAAAAAAATTATGTGTCAGGCATTGTGTGAGGTCTTTGGTGATACAAATGTGAAATGACATGGTTCCTGTCTTCTATTGTGTGAGGTAATTGCTAAAAAGGTGAAAGGTACATTAGGAGCAAAGAACTGTCTGTCCCAGGAAGTAAGGGAAGGTTTGACAGGAAGCTGGAGTTGAGACTTTTAAAAAAAAAATTAATTTATTTTTTCAAAAATATATTTTTATTGACTTCAGAGAGGAAGGGAGAGGGAGAGAGAGATAGGAACATCAGTGATGTGAGAGAATCATCAATTGGCTGCCTCCTGCACGCCCCACACTGGGAATCGAACCCACAAACCAGGCCCTTGACCAGAATTGAACCTGGGACCTTTCAGTCCTCAGGCTGAGGCTCTATCCACTGAGCCAAATCGGCGAGACCTGGAGTTGAGACTTTTGAAGATCAGT